TTATAAGGATCCGCTCCCCCCCCCCCCCAACACCACCTGATTTCAACCTATCAGAGAATATTGATGAATGTTCACGAATTTTCTGGAATATTCTAGTGTTATGCCCCAAAAGTGGAGCATAATTATCCAATTTATTTCAGAATATCCCAAAATAAGTGACACACATTGTGAAATCCAAATATAATATTAAGTAATTATTAAACAATTGGGAATATACGTGCAATCATGTATCACGTATATTCGCAATTAAAAGTAAGCCAGTGGAACTCGCATCAGCAGTTTCCACTGGGCTCAATCGCATGGTGTTATGATTACACCATGCAGATATGAGGTAATGACCACGACGTCATGGGCTCTCGATCAAATAAATACTCGAGAGACCATTGTCTCGGGGCCAGTAACTCGATTCTCATCGCGGTTCACCTGATACCTTCCGTATCAGTCTGAACACTTGAATGGTATTTTAAAAGTAAGAAATTAAATAAAGAATATTATTATAGTATTCGTTCGCGAGTGTCTTAATCTTCCAAATTACCGAACCCAACCGCTCGGGACTCTAACACCAGAAATTATCAAGTATCCCCCCCCTCATGAGTGATCATTCTCATAAATCGGTGACATCATCTCCCCAAAACATTTTGCGACCAAAATGCCGCCACTCTTCGGATTACTCAATGATATCTCATTACATACAAGTCTCGATAGGACATATGAGATAACCCCACTCCGCGGAACAATGACTCATCTCTCGAATGATGTAACCCCTTCAGAATATTCCACGAGCGTGCTGCCACCTAGCTCTAGAATGTTCTGGATGACGTCATCCTTCCAGTTCATTCCACGACTGTGGCGTCGCCTGGATCTATAATGTTCTGGATGACGTCATCCTTCTAGAACATTCCGCGACCGTGGCGCCGTCTGGTAGCGGCGAGGAGCTTTGATACAGAACCCGCCTAGCTTAACTACTTAACAATATGATTCGAAATCAAGTGGGGTCTCAATCGTCTCGCGAGAAATTGCGTCGTAATAATAATAAAAGGAGTAATGCTCCCCCTAAACCGCAAGGTTTCCAATAGAGACAAGAATAAATATGAATAATCGTCGTCTCCAACGCCCAACTGGCCATGATTGGGACGATAATAAATTAGACCATTTCAAGTCCGTTTGAATGGCGTCGGAGCCACGCCACGCGAGAAAATGCGTCTCAACTAATTTACAATCCGAAAGACTCTTGACCAAACTAAAGTCTCCAATGGCTCGGGACTTAGTCCCAGCCCTCAAACCAAAGAAAACTACTCTTTTTACGACTTATCTCGATAATTCCCTAGGCCAGGGCCCCAGATTCCGCTCCAGGCTGTAAAATTACTGCTCAAGGTTCTCTGGATCCTCCAAATTGTAGTCCAGAGGGTCCCAAATAGTTGGCTTCCTGCTAACGGTCGCCACGTGCTCGACTCAATCCTCTACTCAACAGTCAACTAAACTTGACTCGATTCGACAGTGTCTCGGGGAGAACTCTCGCACGCTTCGCTTTTCGCTTCTTTCCTCGCTCTCCTTAGGATTCTCCCCTCCCTTTTCCCTCTCAACTATTCAAATCCCGTCTAATTACTCTAATTACGTCTAATTACTCTAATTACTTGGCCTGGAGCATTATTTTTATCTAATTTATTTTTCTAGATTTTATCAATCCCTAATTGAATTCCTCTAATTTCCTAATGGTTTGGGCCCAGTCCCCCGCTGAGTCAATTTCCCTGGAGATGTATCACCAGGCTCGTGCAGAGTTTCCATTAACCTGAGAGTTTCGAACTCGGGCTGAAAGATGAAGGTTCCCTGTTCTCCGCTCCCTCCTCTTCATGGTGTCCCAGCAGGGCCGGTCCTGTTGTTGGCCAGCCGATTCTTGGTGGTTCCAAGTCCTGTTGGCCCCGAGCGATTTTTCTCAGAGCCATTCGGTTCTTTTCCTCCAGGTCCACTTCCCGAGGGTGGTCCTCTCCTCAGCCATTTCCCATAAATTTTAATCAAAATTAATGACAATTTTTTTCTTTTGAGGTTGTTCCAGTGATTTCCTCTGCAGGGCAGGAGTTTGAGCTACCTCCGAGCCTCAGAATTAATTAATTTGAAACTCGGTTTTTGAAATAAAAATATTTTTGGCACTTGATAATTTAATTGTCACAAATTATTACACAATTCAGGCAAATTAATGGTTAAGACCAATCCATATATAAGTGATATCAGAGAACA